CTTGTCATCAGTGATACAGGATAGTGGGCCTGAAAAGGTACAGCGTATAGTCGTTCAGATGGTACGATACAGAGACCCCGTGTACACAGTGACGTGCACGAAAAGATCCCTTAGCGGTTGGAATTCGATATAGAAGTAAACCGTAGTGTCGTTGTCCGGGCAAAATTTCCTCCATAGCACAATGTATGGCTTATCAATAGGTTTCTTCGTCTCATGACCTTAAACACTGTGTATAAATTTAAAGTCAATCGGATATTAACTGTGGCCTCTAGAGCGTCCACAAGATTTTTCAATGCGATCAAGGGCCATAACTCTGTCAGTAATTATCGGAAATCGTTGAAAATCAATAGGCTTCTTCGTCTCATGACCTTAAACACTGTATAAATTTAAGGTCAATCGGATATTAACTTTGGCTTCTAAAGCTTTCGAACAGTAGGACGTTAAACCCCATTTCATTTCATTTCATTTCTAGACCGTTCACAAGATTTTTCAAAGTGATCAAGGGCCATAACTCTGGCAGTAATTATCGGAAATCGCTGGAAAATCAATATGCTTCTTCGTCTCATGACCTTAAACACTATAAATTTAAGGTCAATCGGATATTAACTTTGGCTTCTAAAGCGTTCGAACAGTAGGACGTTAAACCCCATTTCATTTCATTTCATTTCTAGACCGTTCACAAGATTTTTCAAAGTGATCAAGGGCCATAACTCTGGCAGTAATTATCGGAAATCGCTGGAAAATCAATACGCTTCTTCGTCTCAAGACCTTAAACACTGTGTATAAATTTAAGGTCAATCGGATATTAACTTTGGCTTCTAGAGCGTCCACAAGCAATTGTGGACGCCGGACGGACGGACGGACGGACGGACGGGGGCGACGACAATATACGACCATATTTCAATGTGGGCGTATAAAAATGACTATATACTGTAAGTATCCATAGGTTAAATTAGCTCAATTAGCAATAATCTTACCCCATAAATACCACGAACAAAAAAGATTTCCCGACCGACCCTATTTAGTGGGTCCAAGTAACTGGAAACACAGGTCTGGCACTATTTTGTGGAGCCAAGTAACCGTAAATACATTATTATTAAATAATTTTTATTCGGCCTTGGGATGAACATGCGATAAAGGACATTGTATATCCTTCATATATGATAAATGATTTATAGGTTAATCAGTATTATTCTGTTAGATCCGAGCTTTGTTTTAATCTCCTATAACGTGTCACATGAAATCTATAATAAAACAATATAAAATGAGGAATTTACTTTCTATTACGGTGAACAAATACGAAATGACGGTATATCTTGCATTTTTCATAAATAATTTACAGGTTATTCTATACCGCCCCAGAGGCATTTGTTATTCATCATATATAGCAGCGATACAGGATATTAAAGATAAAAATGATCACCATATTCACTCTTGTACAAAGAAGATGGGGTTTAGCGTGTCACTTTTCTGCACCGACTGAAGATGGGTTTACGTTACCCCTACAGGTGTTATGTACAATGGGGAAACTTGGTAGGACAGTGGCTCTACGGTGGGCCTACTCTCATTTTGAATTCCAACTGTCAAGGGTTCTTTTACGTGCACCCCAATGTGACTTCTGTTTTCCGTACAACCCAAAGGACTAGACACGGTCCTTGTTCCCCCCCCCCCCCAGCCCCCGGAGGAACTGTCTCGGCCAACGCCTTAGCGAGCCAGAGTCTTTCTCACCAAGCCACCGTGGCTCACTGGTGTATAAAGGACCCTGGTTTCCATATTGAGAGCCACGGTGGTTCGGCGAGAACGACTCTAATTCACTAACCAGGATGACCCGGTTTCGATCCTTTTGTTTACCGAGAATATTACTCGAGATTTTTCAACCTGGTTTCCCTATGTCAATGAGACGAAAATCAAGGCCATCAGTGTACTATTTGGCTTGCATGTAAAGGATTCTTCATAGCACATTGTTTGCACGTCTTCAATAGCCCGTCTTCATTGTAATGGGGGGTTGGATGGCTGAATGGTTAGGACGTGCGCACTGTATCATAAGGCCTGTCATTGAGTCAACCGGCGTAGTTTCGAATCCTCGGTTGTACGTGGCAAGGAGTAGGGTCGCCTGTCCATCGTCGTGTGTTTTCTCCGGGTCCTCCGGTCCCCCCACTGCTAAAGACCCCTACGCGCAAGCGAATTATTGAAATATAATTAAACCATATGTTAGTCCCGAAATGACCTAGTTTGTGTCATGTGAACGTTAAACCCCATCCCCCCCCTCTCTTGGCTTTAAGTGGACATCATTGTGTCGTCAAGGCGATCCATGTGATATTCTCAAACCGTGGAAAGCTATAGCTAAATTGGGTAGGTGGGTGGGGGTGGAAATTCCGTCCGGGAATATGCGGTGGCTCAGTGAGTAAAGAGCTGACTCGGAAGACCCATAGTGTCCCAGGCTCGATCCCGGTGTTGGCAAATAACTTTTCTCGGGATTTTCCGGTGTCCGGAAAACAACAACATCTAGTCGTTCGTTGGGAGTTGGAATACGAAATACGAGGTAGGCTGTGGCTCCGGTATTCGGGCAGAACTTTCCGCATTACACACTGCATGACGTATACATATAGATACAGAGAAGTTGAACTTTAAATCCCGTTTCATTTTAAAAATTGACAGCTTCATCATCTGAAATAATTTTCACAATATCGACCCATTTAGCTACATATAAAAACCCTAACATGTGCCAGGTTTAGAGAGAGAGAGAGAAATGGGGTTTAACGTCCACTCGACACAAACTAGGTTATTTCGGGACGAACATATGGTTTAATTTTATTTCAATAATTCGCTTGCGCGTAGGGGTCTTTAGCAGTGGGAGGAAACCGGAGGACCCGGAGAAAACCCACGAGGTTGGGCAGGCGACCCTATTCCTTGTCACGTACAACCGGGGATACGAAACCACGCCAGTTGACACAATGACAGGCCTTATGATAACCATTCGGCCATCCAACCCCCCGGTGCCAGGTTTAGAAAACCGGACACCAACTTCTCATTTGTTATTTTACCCTCGAATTTGGTGTCTACGACACAATAATAGAAATGCCATGATTTTAAGAGAGAAACAGTCAACTTACTTTATTCTAAGTGAAGCTATGCGTGTTTAAAGTTTGTAATAATGCTACGATAATAAACAAAGTTTTGATATCCATAAATTATGAAATGGCCAGGATATTTTTAATCAATTCAATATCACGACCATCCTAGGGAGCTGTTTATAGGCTTGACATATGAACAAATGCATAATTGATAATTTATGTAACATTTTTTGCAGACAAAAGACCTGCAATAGGCAGATTAGGAATTTACATAATACGTCTTTAATGATTATCTGTTGATTGAAAAAATATATTTCCATCAGGAAATGAAGTTTAATTAATAATTATCAGTTATATATTAGCATATAAAGAGAGAGAGAGAAATGGGGTTTAACGTCCACTCGACACAAACTAAGTCATTTCGGGACTAACACATGGTTCAATTTTATTTCCATAATTCGCTTGCGCGTAGGGGTCTTTAGCAGTGAGAGGAAACCGGAGGACCCGGAGAAAACCCACGAGGTTTGACAGGCGACCCTACTCCTTGTCACGTACAACCGGGATTCGAAACCACGCCAGTTGACTCAATGACAGACTTAATGATACAGAGCGCACGTGCTAACCACTAAGCCATCCAACCCCCCTATTAGCATATAAACATTTTAGGAATGTATAATGTGAAATAAAATGAAATGGGTTTTAGCGTTTACCGTTCTGTACCAACTGGACTAATAAAGACGGGGTATGTATATAATGTAAACATAATATACATTTACCTAGAATATCTGTTAACTCATGAACTTTTCTCTGATTGTGACCTGTAGCTGAACTTTCTGCAGGTAGTAAAACTAATATAATAAGATATAGGTGCACATGTAGGTAAACGGTATAAATACCGGTGGAAGTAATATTTATAGACAGAACTGTTATAAATATATCCCTACTGGAATCAAAACATACCACACACGTGTTCACGATCAGCTTTATAATAAACTTCAGTGTCATCTTTGTCTAGAATATTCCCCCTCGCCCTTTTCTATCGTAATATTGTTGTTTTCATCCCGTTTTTATATTCTCAATATCTTCGAATGATTGTCGCCCCCATTTGATAGAAAATATGGCAAACTACCAAATGGAAGTGTAAATTACAAAGATTCAGCTAATCTACTATAGGGTTGGGGCGCGGTTTCCGGTGGAGTGCCTATACTTAAAAGTCCCGTGTCCTCGTGATATTTCCTACTTGAAAAATACTGTGTGGTACGTATTCTGGGCGTTGGGCGTCTAACGGAACAAAGTGCATTTGGACACAGCTCACCAATTATTCGTACGCCATCATCCACGAAACAAGGGCCAATGCTATTCTTAGTCTATCTCCTCCTTTCCCCCATTTGCATGGCGGTCTGTGTTGACTTTTTGGTGAGGAATTGAAGAAAGGGGTTTGGATATACATTTTCTGCCAGGTTTTGTTGAATATACATTTTCTGCCAGGTTTTATTGAATATTTACGATTTTGATAGAAGAGTTAAGACGTTGATTGGTTTGAAATGGAGGGTGGAAAATTGTATGTTTACTTGTCTCTACTTCCTGTTTGTGTATCTCAAGTTATCCATGAACGTTGTAGCTGCTTTTGAGCAAGAACATTTGGGAAACGTTAGAGCCGGTCTAAGAGTCGAGAATCAATGGGGAAATCATTGGTGATATGTGGCCATTTACACATGAACCCGACACAGTTTGAATTCAGTACGGGAATTTATCGAAGAATGCCGATTGATCATAACCCGGGGGCTACATTGGTCTACTACAGCCCTGTCATCTCAACGGATGTGGAAGCCATGAACGGCTAGTTCACAACAATCTTCACTTGTAAGACCCTTCTTTTGCTTACTCAGTCTTACAACATAACAACAATTATAATGAAACCAAATATATTTTTACAATATTTATTTCGTTGTACAAAACGATATGAATATTCATAATAATAGTAACAAAAAATAACAACACAACTCCCTGAGTTATACATTCCCATTGCGCATTTGATACGCAAAACAAACTCGCAAATACATGGAATTTTTGAATATCGAATTGAGTATTACAATGTCGTCACTGTCCGCGACAAATGACAGACAAAAAAAACGACCATACATGCTTACATACAAATTATCTCTTCCAATTTATGGCACATTTACACATTGTGGGTGCTTTAAGATCATTAAATATTAAACATTAATTAATCTACCATACAAAAATACAAATATAGAAAATTATTCAATTCAAAATACTGTAAAATATACACATCCAAAATACAGAAAAATATCAACCAAAGTTAACATAAATCTTACACGACTACAATACAGTTACTGTAATTACACATATTATGTAAATTTGTGGGCTACACAAAACGAAACTATTCAGTTCAACACTCATTTTGTAATGTATATCGCGCTTAAAATGAAACGATATATATCAACATGATACGATGATATAATAGCAAAGATCACATACCAAAATCTATTTATTACACCAAAGTATGGTTGCTGTTTGTTTTAAAATATGGAAGTTAACCTACATATTATTGAATTCAATTAAATACAAAATGCTGAAGGATATATATTATAGATTATACAATATGAAACTATGGGTTTGGTTTTTTTTTAAAAATCGATAGATACAAAACATCAACAATACAAAAATTGGCCAATCGTCAAATCATTTTTATATGTAATTTGTCATTTTTGTCGATAATAAAAGACAACATAATTATCTAAATTAACTGATCAGTTCCATTTGATTTCTAAAAACAAGAAACGTACATTTTTGCATTAAAGCTATAACCTCTCTTAAACTATCAAAAATGTCTAATATGCATTTTACCGTTTAACGGAAAGTGTATCCATTTCAGAATACTCTTATATAAATAATTCTGTGTAGGTCTGGATGAGTCCATATTCTGTGGGGATTTCTTAGCAAATCCGGATATTTCCTTTGAAATAATAAATGATCACCTAATAAGTTTAATATAGAATTTATTAGAAACGGAGCTCAACCTCAAAACCTCCCGTGAATATTTTGAACTATGAAATTATTTCAACTGAACTTTTCAAACAATGCAAAGCCTATCGATTCGATTAAATAGTTTATTGAAAAATTGTTTTTCCATTTAATTCTGTTTTACAAGTGTTTGACACGTGAGCCATATTCATTTATTTATAACTTAACTTGTTTTTTTTTTCACCGTGAAAATAAAGACATATGTTTAATTATATTTTAAGGTTGATATCTACAAATTATCAATATTAGCACAAGCTTTAGTTTCCTTTCTTTTAACATGCATATCAGATTCTTCGAATTGGTTTCTATGACAACAGTTTTTTCCTTTAAAGATTAAAAAAATGCCATGGCTTACTAAGTTAATTATATCTAACTCGCTAAATAACATTAATAATTTCTATATATGGAGTCACGGAATGTAAGTCTAACCAGGGATTATATATGATACACCTACGTATAGTATATGATAGGTATTATATATGAAAACAAACGATACACAAATTTGATCTTGGAAATATTTCAAAATACGTTCATGACCTTAAATTTATGAAAATATGAAATCAAACAACACGCATTTTTGATCTTACAAATATCTATGTTTCTACTGACCTTAAATCAAAACTGTAAAAACAATTTAAAAACACCGAATGACGAAATACAATACATAATGCTGTTGGCGCCACGCTAAAAAAAATGTCGTGATTATATAGGGGAAAACATCACTTGCGCAATATTCTTTCCAAGGAACTAACACTATTTAACATTAAATATAAATTACAAACTTAAATACAATAGACATCTGAAAACCACGATAAATGTTTTACGGTATACTTAACGAGATAACGAGATACGATTTAAATAATAGATTATTTAATGACTTATATAACGGTGAAAACATTCCGACTTAATACAGACGACACAATAACTAAACAAAATCTAACCTTTTAAAGATATTAAAAATATATTTAAATTCATATACGTGTATTGTGTATGCATGTATAAATAACATCAAATCATCAGTGCACGACAATATCAAAATGGATTTAATCAAAACAATTTTCACTAAACGTATCCAATAAATATACAACATCTATATGTTTTTCATAAAAGATACGTATTCAAACAGACGACATATCAGATATTTAACAAAAGCACCAAAATTGAATGAATAACGTAATATATCACAAATTAAAAAAATAAATACCCATAAATGAAGTGGGTATATTTACAGTAACTATGGTTTTAACACCAGTACGATTGTCAAATGACCATTTCTTTTACTAGTATTTCAAATTGATTTTTCCGTGTATCAAAACGTTAACTTGACTTCCAGACATGGTGACAACCAAACGCCATTCGTAGAGATATTTTATCAATGACAATATTCATTGAGCACTTGAGTTATTCCCGGATAACAATCGATCAATCATTGTGAAGCGTAATATTTTCAAAGTAAAATGACTGAGTTTAGTGTATCCGTGTGACATAATGATAAGCGTAGAATAAATATTGACGTGCTAGTTAGATACATGATGATTACACATTCTCATATGGAAAATCAATTCTATACCAGCTATAGCCAGTTATCTCAAAATACTCAAGATTTGTATTTTGTCGGCTGCCCGAAATGAGAAATACTTACACCAAGTGAGACTGTTAGGTAGGGGACACGAAATCTGAAAGGGTGATTTGAAATGTTCAAACTATGGAAAAAAGAATAAGCATGACAAGTTCCTTCCATGTCAGTCGTACTTGAATTGACGGAGCCATAGTATTCTTTCTTAGGAGAGCGACGCCTCCCCTCCCCCCCCACTAGAACGACCAGATGGGTAGGGGTCGGGAACTAGTTCCCAGTCCAAAAATGTATCACTTTTGAGAACAATAACGTAAATAAATGAACTGCTCTATATGCCTATACAGATAATAATGGTTTTCTAATAGTTAAGTCTTATCAAATCAGTATTTCACAGTACATTATTTAAATTATAACCAAATATCCGTAAAAAAAAATAACATATAACATTAACAAAAAATGTTATTAATATTGATGCGTATAAGATAATACAATAATTATGTGACATTCATTGAAAGTTAACATCGTACAAAAATATACTATTTAATTGGTACAAATTGACATCAAATAAGTCGTATTGTTGCTGACAGAGTATTATTCAGATATTATAGTTGAGCATAATGGTACATTTACGATAATTATTACTAGCTAATCTTTTAGCATTAAAGTTTACTTTAATATGCGTTTTGTATAGTTAAAAGCCACTATAATCGCCTTAACGTATTATAAACCCAAAACTGTACAAGAAAGCTGCTTTAACGTTTATGGGGAATTGGATTCAATTATGTTTTTAAAAAAATTTAATTAGTGAGTAAAACTAATTACTGCTAGTGATTTAGATATCTAATTATAATTAGTCTCAATGGTGATTATAAGGGTTTGAAGGTTCAGTGATTACAACCACTATGACAATCAAGGATTATGTCACGGTCTAACGATGCAATCACAAAATCGATTATTTTGTTTTATTGATACAGGTAAGAAAATCATCGCATTAAATATGTTTCAAAGTCACAGAATACTTGTCTATCAGCAATTTAATTTTATCGACATCGCTCGTAAATATTGAGCTAAATTGTTAAATACACATAATATATATATGTATAATATTTAAATTAGCACTTGTTTGACAAGAAACATAATGACAAGAATTATTATGACTACCGTACAAAACACATGATACACAGATAGCACAAAAATATCAAAATTAAATAAATAAAAAAACCGAATCGCATATTAATATTATTACAAACTTGTAACCAGAATAATATAGAATATCAAAATACTTGATACGAACATCTAACACACAATTCATAGAAGTTATAAATTAAAAACTAACATGTCTGGAAATAGTACAATATTTGACAGATTAACTGATCACTACGTTGTTATTTTGTCTACCATCTGATACGTAGAGACTTGACATTAATGCCAACCTCCAACGTTTGAGTTTATTGTTCATTTCAATCTCACAGCAAGGTAAATTTAACGTCCTAACTTAATAAGTTTATCACTAGTCTATCATGTTACTTGCGTCAAAATAGTAGACAATGAACACTCGACTTAACTGTGAAACGACGAATTGCTTGGATTGGAAGCTAATGATGTTAGTGTCGTAGAAGTGGCAGAGACGTGTAACGGCTTTTCTGGATTCACTAATACGGGTGGTCTTGTCAGATCCGACCCTGTTCTGTTGATGGAAATCAACTGTACTTTTGTTCGTCTGTTGAGTAAAATGCACTTTATTTCCTCGCGTAGTCTTTTGCTTCTAAACACATAGACAAATGGATTGACCGCACAACTTGCCATGGCTAAGATAATAGAGGTAATCCCTACTGCTGGGTGTTGAATTGTCGCTTTGGATAATAGAGATTCTAAAACAATGACAATAAAATAAGGTAACCACGACGTTATGAAAGTAAAAACTATCAAAAAGCTGGTTACAGCGGCTTTCCATTCTTCCCGTCGGAGCAGCAATGATCCCAGTCTACCCGACGAACTCACCCGACGAGCTAGTATGGAAGCGGTACTGCTTCTGCGTCTTCCGTTTTTGAGCGGGGATTGTACACTGTCATCGGATGCCGTCGAAGGTACAATGCTACTACGCCGTGTGCGCTCATTATTTGTCCTTGCTGCACGAAATATCACGGTGTATGCAAACAACATACCCAACAACGGTAGAACAAAACATACCGTTACTAGGAACAATGTATAGTACCGGTCTACCGTGTCCTCACTCGACCATTTTACAGTGCAGATCATTTTGTTCTTTTGAAATTCCATACGGTTCCAGCCAACCAAAGGTGGAAGAGATGAAACAATTGCGACCATCCACACTCCAGCAATCATGAGATAACATCTCTGTGATGTCACTAATAAGGAATAATGCAGCGGTGTCACAACAGCACAGTAGCGGTCTATGGAAATCACTAATAAAGTTAATGTACTGGCACCGAACACAACGTTCATGATGAAGCCAGTTATCTGACACCAAGCATCACCCAAAACCCACTGTTTAGCAATAAGCGATACCAACACACATGGCATAACTAATACGATGTTGAAACTGTTGCACACGGAAAGGTTTAACACAAAACGATTGGATATCGTCAATAGACATCTCTTCTTGATGAAAACCACGAACACCAAAATATTTCCAACAATACTAGCCAAAATCACGATCCCCAAAAAGACACTCATCAAAGATATTTCTGTTGTCGTTACTTCCGGCTCAGGCATCTTGCACACCGCAGTTCCAAGAATCTTTCCAGCTGAATTGTTGCATGTGACAGTTTCCATAACTTGTGCAGTTGTCTCCGAGACTCTAATCATATTGTTTTAATTGTTCACTTTTCTGCAAACAACATATTTTTTTCTCTTACAACATGTCAACAAGCAAAAATAAATAGAAGTGTGTTGTTAAATGCGTCATACAGCCGTTTAGAAAGTAAAGTTTAACAATGCTATGTAATCCACCTCTTCTTGTTTGACATGTAACTAGTACTTGTTAGTCGAGGTTGTTCGTGTTCTCTGTCGACTTATGAATCAGTACTGCCTTTAATCCTTTCTAACGGCATTGAAGAAACTGATCCTAATAGTATTACACAGATCACGTGGTATGTTTAACGGAAACCAAGTGACTGGTCTTATCATCCAATCAAACACGGTCTCTCAGTTTTCTCTGTTTGAGCAAGGTTTATTTCCAATGAAAACAGTCGACTTACTTCGTTTCAAGAATCAATTTCTCGGTTCTGTACTGTAGCAGACGATGTACTGGTGCCAGCAGTCATAGAATACTGAAAGTATAATAACAATGGTTATTCAAACACCTGACAGAAAATCTTTTCATCGTATGAACGGTTCTTTCACTCGATTGACCTTTGTGAATTATTTATATGTATAGGGGTTAGGAGGTGAGCAGAGGGGAATAAACCGTTCTCAATTCATCAAGCTTTCTATATAGTGAATGGGTTGATATTATACGTGTCATTGTGGGCTGTTTAAACTCGATCGATAATAATTCCGTCAGATGCCTTGCAGTGTCATGTAATATAACTGCAAGTCGGTCGGGCTCCTCTGCATAAAAACCTCACTCGACGAGGTTGATTGATGCTAGAGTTTATGGGAAGATTCACATTTGTACAGTACTGAACCTGCTTAGTCATGTTCTTTAATTAAGACACTCAAACGTATGGTGTGAGTTGACAATAATAAATTAACACACAAATCCCAGACAGTAAGGAAATGGTGGTATACTTTGAGCATTATTGATATAAACAAAATTAACAACATGTCAATAACAAACGTATATAATGAGTATTCCTGATTATTACATACTTATAAGACACCATGCTATTAGAAAATATTTAAGTAAAAACATTAAACCGTTGTTGCAAATCAGATCACCTTGCTGTTACATTTCTAATAAATGTTTTTCTTAATTATCGTGTTCTTTAACTACGATACCTATGTTAACACTCGCAGACGGTGAGGGATAGTGGCATACTTTGAGCATTATTAATATAAACAAAATCAATAACATGGCCACGTACGTGTATATCTAACCATATTTCAGACTATTACATACCTTTGGGACACTATGCTATTATAAATAATTGATGTATGAACATTTAACAGTGTGTGCAAACCAGTTCATGTTAATCAAGTCCCATTTCTAACAAATGTTGTGCTTTTAAAATTTTAATGTTTATATATCTTAATACATAATAGAGTTTGTCCGTAACACAATACGTTAAAGGTCTATTTTTTGTTCATTTCATTTAAAAACGTCTTCAACCTATCCCTGTAATTTGTACCATGCCGTATTCTATTCAAAAGGCAATCTATCTCTGGAATCATCATAAGCACACAATAGTCCTATGCTCACACTCTCACATATCCATTAATAAATTGGGTTACTAAGGTAAACAAGCCTTGAAGATTTTGATAAAAAATATTATATTGTTATCTGAGATTTTCATTGAAAATGTGATAACCGATCGTTAAACTGTAATAGAAAAAGGAGCAAAGCCATTTCGCAGGCGAAGAGAAAGCACAGGGTCTTATTTCCTGAGTTTGTACTTTTGCGACTGGTTCAACATTAATTTGTGTTTATTCTATTTAACAAGATCACCCAAGTGAATAAACTCCATTTCCTACAAGTTAACCCAATTTAGTTTGATGGATTGTTCGATAGATATAAAAAAGATAAGTTGCCGGGCAACAAAACATACACCCACAGCAGCTAAATCGTCTGGGCGGTCAAGGGTTGTCGCATATTTATTCTTTTGTAGGTAATAGGTGCATATAAATTCCATACAGATCGGATGGTAACTTTTGGCGTTAGAAATTTCACAAGGTTCAACAAAGTGAAACATGGGCCATAACTCTAGCAATTATAAACGGAAATTGCGAAAATTCAATAGGATTCTTCGTTTTATTAATATAAATTAAAACATATAAATTTTATACAAATTAGGTGATGACGTTTGAAGTAAGAGCGTTCACAAGGTGCAACAAAGTGAAACAAGTGGCATAAATCCATAAGAAATTAACGGAAATGATTGAAAATTAAATAGGATTCTGCATCTCACTAAAGTAATCAACATATATCAATTTTAAAACAATCAGATGATAAATGTAGTCTGTAGAGTGTTCACAAGAACATGTCAGTGTGACGTGGAACATTGCCTTCATCTGAATGATTCCAGTCTGCCTTCTTCAATTATATTATTTAATGTTGTATCGATCCAGTCTAAAACTGAATGAAGTTGAAAACCGTCGTAACAGTTTCCCAGACTTTGACAAATGAACTGGTTTATATCACAACAAAAGATCTACTTTTTTTTTACTATAACAACCATTTTATTTGAAGTCACAATGAATGTTTACGGTGGTAATAGGCCTAATATGCAGATATAATCACATGTTTTCGCATATTAAGGACAACGGTAACATTTTAGTTTTAAAACCAAAGCATTGGTCACAAGTATAGAATTGCAATACTGAAGTAAGGCTATGTATCGACAACGTCGATTATACGCAAATAATCCCCCCCCCCCCCAGTGAGCCAGTATACCCTGTTTCGTGCACAACATCCATGACTTCTTACACCTTACTGGAGCGATGGTTTACAGACTAGAGCTACTTGGTTTAGAATAGCTTCGGGAGGAAGGATACTAGCAAATCACCCACCCCACCTCTTCAGTAGTCCAAAATGCAAAATTTGTTAGTAAAATGAACCCCTATAAACAAAAAACTGCCACTTAAAGATGCATTATATAAGACTGAGAGATAAAGACCTTAACATAATCACTATAACAGTTTAAAAAAAGATAATGAAAGATGAAAATATTGAAAATTTGAGTAAAATTACTTCAATCGCGAAGTTATGCCTTTGTGGCGAATAGCGGAGCCTCGATTGCCATCGCTACCGTTGTTACGATAGTAAGCACAGTTTTAATTATCTATTTTTTAATTAAATTATTAAACGACGATTTTGTTTCAATCAATTTAAAATCGCGAGCATCCAATAGTCTAGAGAGTTGATTATGGTTTATGGTCTTGGTATGTTAATATATGTCTAATTAATAATTTATATATCATTTGACCCAAAAGGATTTTCGAGATCAATGTTGCTTACTGAAAGTTAATCTGAATGGCAAATCTTCAGTTCAAATTAAAAGAAACGATAAAAACAAACAATTTTCAAGTATATTACCAACTGTTGGCTATCAGTTTACTAAATTAAGTAGATCTTATAAACAAAATACATACAGGTGATCCCAGGAAAAAACATGATATACTGTACATAAATCTCAGCTAACATCAATTTCACAGAACTGTTCCCTACATGAAAGTGTATATTAAAACCATATTCCTCTTACTAACTATAACCTCTTCAACTCTCGCCTGCCACATGATCCACAATTTGAACGACATGCAGAAATGTGGCCAGAGGTCAGACTCAGATAATTACTCGCAAGGTTCAATCATCGAACACATCTAAGACTGCAGATATCTGCAAAGACCTTGAACCGCCCGTAAAGTTAATTAAGCTCATGGCCATTCTCTATCGAAAAAGACAGTTAATCCCATACCAATGCGACTTATTCCTGTAATTACGGTTGAGTCACAGACATGATTGACTTTAATGTAGCGGAAGATAAGTGTCCATTGCTGTGCATGTCTATTTCAGCATCCGAAAACGCGACACATATTAATCATCATTTCTTTTATATGAACACATGATCCCAATATTCCTGTTCGTTGAAGTAATTATGCATCCGAATTTAATTCAGATGTCATTGCATTCCGATGCATTTCTTCCTTAATTATTGATTTTATTACAAAGATGTATCATAAAAAGATAACAATTTTATGATGAATTGTTGGATAAAGAATATGATTCACTGTGCTTGCATTATCTATATTATAGCGCTGACTGTTTGAAAATAAAACCCGTTTCCCTGTGGAATTTATCTATTACACGCAATTCATCTACGAGTTCAGATAATAAATAAATATAAAAAAATAAGCAAAATTCGATATTTAATTTAACTTTTTGTATACTCCATGGATAAGGAAGCCCAGTGACAATTTTATGTCAGTCAATATTAACAAGTTTGGAAAATGATTATTTCTTATAGAGGACTTGTCTAGAAGAAATCAGAATTTAGCTAAAAGCATACTATTGACATACCAGGGAATAATTTTGTGTGGAAATCAATATAGTACATATTTTACATAGTCAGGCGGCATAGCTCTCGATTGAAATGTTACGGTCGAGAGCCTGACAGAAATCAGAACACAGACAATCCAGTAAAGTGGTTCAACCTGAGGACTAATTAAATTATGGGAAACTGAGTTGATGAGGTCTACGTACTTAGCAAGCAATTTACATGTATGTGTGCACAAACTGTGATATTGTGTTTCCACCGCCTGTCACTTGGAAGATATGTTTCAACTAGATTCGTGCCTATAATGAATTTGAGATGTTTTTGTAATTTGAAACAACTGATTCCACTAATTATACTTCTATCTGTTTTGGTAGATAATTGATATATTTATATCCATACTATTCTTTTGTTTCGTTTTAGCTAAAACAGAAATATGAACCGTAAAATAGGGTTTCACAGTACACACATACCCCCCCCCCCCCCCACCCCCTCACAAACACACACACACACATATATATATATATATATATATATATATATTAATTATTGGCACCCGCAACGACATCTGGTAAAAATAATGCTAAGTAATGTTATTTTGTTATTTAAATGGGGCATGTCAATGAGGGTCATGGTGTTAATATTTGTGGAAACCAAATGAGAAATTCAATAAAATCTGTGTTGCTGGAGTCTTTAACTAAACCATGTCAAGTGTGCATTTTATTGCGAGATGTAGTGACTCTAGGAAACTGATTTAATCACTAGCACCAATATGACTAACTGGAAGGTCAACAAGTAGTTACCAGAATACCCTTTGACTGTAAATGTTCCTATGATATATGGGTATTTTATAGGGGGATATTATGATATTGGAGAAACTATATCAACTGCCCTAATACCAGCATTTGGATAAAGGTCACTAAGTAACCTCTAGTACTAACTATATTATTAACAGTGATAAACAGACAAATGATTCCGTTTTGGGATAACAACCAGCTTTAATAATTGCCTTCTGATTTATGAGGCCTTTTAATTGACGGAATGACCCTATATTTATCAATGTTATGTTTGATTTGACCTGACCCGTTTCTTGCTCAAAACTGTGCCGTGTCATGCCTGAC